AAATAAAAAAAATAAAAAAATATTAAGACAAAAACAATATGGTGCTAGTAATGGTGGTGGCGATTTAAAACATGTTATTTATTACTGTTAACTCCTTTAGAATCTAGAGAAGCTAGACAGAGACTCTTGTCTAACAGTAATCGACAAAAATGACGTTAGGCTGTCAATTTATTATTTTTCACTTTCTATATTCATACCCGTATTAACAGTTGGACTATCCTGAAGATTAACTGACAGCACGTCTCGTCAGCATTCCAGCTCCATCCTCGGCTTTCTAGACGTTTACAGTTGTAGTATTTGGAAAAATGGGCATGAGTGGTTGGAACGTTGGTATTTCGACCAGCGTTCGGATTTCACTACGGTCGATTTGTAATGACTGTAACTTCTAGATGCTATCGACACAGGGGATGCGATCGCAGCATCCGATACCTTTGAGAAGTGTCTGAAAAACCATACCTCACGGCTTGATAGTTGAACTAGCATGAAATCTTAAATAATCTTGACCAGGCATTTGAACGTATGGGCCTTTTTTAGACTGTTTATCAAGCTAGTCCGTCGGGACTCATACATATATAAACATATGTGGGCAGTTTCGGCTATGACACATGTATGTATACGGGTGGTGTTATATCTATACATACGCATTTGTATATTGAAATGTTGAAATTTATACATTCGAAGTGTGGCGGAGATGTCTCGTTACTGTATACATGTCATATTAAGTGTTTTCGCGCTGAAAAATATTTCCTCGCATGTATGTATATGCGTGTGGTGGGGTTTGTGTAAAATTATGATAGGTAAAAATGATTATTACCAAGTATGTATATGTGTCTGCATACATCGATGTTTGCGTTAGTACGATGAATGACAAAACGACGAAATTTCCCCCACCACTTCCACAATAACACCAATACACGCAATCTACATAAACCCCAATTTTTTAAAACATTAATCAGTTTGTCTGACGATCGCTAAAGCGTGAAACCCAGGGTCACAAACTCACATCTATCCAACCAAATATGTTAGCTCTATCTCTGATATTGAGCGCTTTCTAATAAGTACCGCGCATATAGTATATAAATAATTATACATACTTATATTTATTTATATTTATATTTATATACACTTTTCACACACACACACACACACACACACACACACACACACACACACACACATATATATATATATATATATATATATATATAAGTACAGGGTTGGTATACATGGAATAAAAGAGTGCTCAATACCGAGTAGAGTTAATATTTATTTAAATTTATAACATATACATATTATAAGATCACAAATGTTGCAATCACTTGAGAAGACACCAGAAGTGTCGAAACAAAATTTCAAGTTTTGTAGTGATCTTATAACGCATATGTCATAAATTTGAATATATATATATATATATATATATATATATATATATATATATATATATATATATATGTGTGTGTGTGTGTGTGTGTGTAAAGGATAAAACACAAGAGGAAAACTGTAGTTTTAGCCGACGCGTTTCATCATGTGGAATTTTCAATGTAAAAATCGAAATGAATTTATTAAAACAAAGTAACTTTAAACAACAAACAAAATGTCGTTAGCAACTCGAAAAAATTAGAAACGCTGTTTTATATTCATATGGACAACAGAAAAATTATGTCATTTACTTTTTATGTTTGAAGAGAATTTGTTCACAAGTAAAAATATTGTTTGTATTGTTGTGTTGATGGACTCAACCGTTTTCTTTTGATTTCTTGATATATTTGTTGTGTACGTTGGCCTGGGAGAAAAGGGGATTCTGTTAGGAAAGGTGATATGGGGAACTAACCTGAAATGTGAAAATATTCTCTTGAAATATAAATAGGATAGGAGGGAAAGAATAATTGTTACCCGTAGACTTGATTAGGTTAAGATTGTTGTGATCGAGGAAAGGGTATAACGGTAGAGGATAGTATGAGAGGTTAGATACTTACTGGAGTGGTACAGGGAGACGACCATCAATATAATCACAAATATAATCACCATCAATCACACTTTTACAATTATCATTCCAAGCTTTTCATTTATAACATCGACAGAGTGTGATGGAAAAATTGTCGTCTAAATTACGCAAAAATGGAAATAAGTTTGACATCTCATTTTAACACATATATTTAACATAATTACACAACAATATCTTGAAATACTAAAAAGTATATTTATTCAATAAAATCGCCATTGGCTTCAACCACAGCCTCCAGGACCCCAGAATCTCCTGCAACTCTTCTGGACGGTCTCCTTGTTTAAGTTGGTAAATGCTGCTAAAATCCTTGCCTTCAGGTCATCTTTGCTGTTAGAAGGAGTTTTGTTGCTCTCTCGCTCAACTACATTCCACATATAATAATCAAGGGAGTTAATCTCTGAGGAATTAGGTGGCCATATACAAGGGGTAATGTGGTTGCAGAAATTGTCTGACAGCCATGATTAGGTTCTCATTTTGTGGCATAGTACAGGGCCCTGTTGTCCAACATAGGGTCTTCAAGCAGCCACCCTTTTGAGCCAGGGCATGACTATTTGCTCAAGGTACTTAATATAGGCCTCCGCGTTGAGTTTGAGACCCTGTTGTAAGATGAATCGAGGCATAACGTCAATCATTCTGGTGATCACGCTAAACATTTTCGTAATCACCAATAGACACATCAAACTCTTTTCAAATCCTCTGGATTGTCCTCAAATCGACGCCTAAACAAGATGTTTGTATTGGAGCTGCCAAGCAGTACAGCATATCGTTTTCAAATTTCTGGCAGAGTTAATTGCATCATTTTTCTGGCAGAGTTAATTGCATCATTTTTCTGGCAGAGTTAATTGCATCATTTTTCTGGCAGAGTTAATTGCATCATTTTTCTGGCAGTTGGTGTCCAACTATTATACTGTGGAGTCTACAAAATCAAAAAACCATCATCGCGCTTTCGCAAAATTAAAAATATAATTTATCTATCGCACTCTGCAAATATTAAGAGTCTCTCGGACTTAAGGTAAAATGCAAAATCTCCTAGAGAAGGCGGCTAAGAATAGCGAGAAGAAAGGACTATTAACTGTATGTATAGCCACCAGTCTGAGAGGCAATCAAAGGTAAGAGCTTCGAAATTGTTAATCGGAGAGCCGAGTTCTAATTCCTGTTGTGTTCCTACTATTCACTTACGTGTAAATACCCTTGTGAAAAGTATGAATCCAAGTTCTCCCCCAGCTATGGATTAATTTAGGAAGACTTTTATCACTAAGAAAATATTATTTATACCCCCTCCCCACAAATATAAAGAGTAAAATAATCAATATAAGACGTTGCTTAGATAAACAAGAGAGAGGAAGTCGTGGAGAGACATGATCAACCACGATATGAAGAGACACAACACATAAAAGAATATCAGTTTAACTTCAATAGTTGTCTACATTTTTGAGATGAGTAATTATTGTAACTATTTACAATATTTACATTGTTCAGGCTATCATGCTCATCTTTATTTTTACATTAACGACGTTTCGACAGTTGAACACTCCGACCTTCTTCAGGATCGTTCTAATTTCTGAGATGAATTATTGTAACTATTTACAATATTTATATCATTCGGACTGTTGTACTCATATTTATTGTCATATTCACGACGTTTCGGTCGTTGTACGCTCCGGCCTTCTTCAAGATTTTTCTAACTATTTACACTATTTCCTATATTTGGACTGTTGTCCTCATCTTTATTTTCATATTCACGATGTTTCGGACGTTGTACGCTCCGGTCTTCTTCAAGTGATACACTGATGTACCCAAGGACACACGTTCTAGTTCCACGTGCCATGCCTTTTCTGCATACTTCATTTTCCTCAAAGACACATGGCCAAGAACATAAAAGCGTTGTTTGAAATAATCTAGTGAGATGAGCAAAATAGTTGTGAGTTCAATACTTTGCCACAGCAGAGTGAACAAAAACTTGGCCAGTTGAGTTTGTAACGTTGAGTTCATCCCGAGAAGACATGGCATGTGGAACTAGGACAATCTACCCCTGTGGAAGAAATAAAGCGAAGCGTGCAATGGTCGAAACGTTATGAATATGTCAATAAAGTTGAGGACAATAAGTCAAACAATATAAGTGTAAACATTTTTAGTTTGTACTAGCAGTAGAGCCCGGCGTTGCCCGGGGATGTAACAGGAAGAGATAGATCAAGTATCGACCATCATAAAGACTGAAAAATAAAATTGACAAAGTTTATTGTTTAAGGTTGACGAGCACGCATGTCTTAATTAGTTTTTTTTGTTTTGTTTTTTTACGAATTGGTCAAACCCAAACAAAAACATTGTTTTCAATCGTTATGAGTCTATCGGTTGAATAGAATTTTATTATAAACAATTGTCTTGTAAATGAAATTTTTAAAGCATTCTGAATGTAAAAATAAAGAAAAAAATGTGCAAGACAATAAGAAACACTACCTGCCAAAAAAGTGAAGTTTTGTTGAAATCGGTTGAAAAATGTAGGAAATCCGATCCCATATATAAACGAACACACACACACACACACACACACACACACAAACAGCCTGGGTTTTATAAGTATAACTCGATATGAGTTGTCCCCCTTTCATTCTGGTGACAGAATAGTGTTTTATTGTGTTTTCAAATTGATTTCGTGCAAAAACAATTGTGTTTTTCCAATTTTGCCGCTGTCAGAACCACCGCAAGGTAATTTTACGCAGTCCTGTGAAGTTTTGTTGAAATCGGTTGAAAAAAATAGGAAATCCGATCCAAATATACACACACACACACACACACACACACACACACACACACACACACACACACACACACACACACACACACACACTCTGCGTTTTATAATAAGTAAGATTTCACTATTGACCTTACCAATGCTATCAGCAGTATAAAAGGACTATTAGAAGAAATGGTGCTACAATATATCATTATAGTTAGTAGAATCAACTCAGGAGCACTTCCTTCGAGAAGTTCTTTTATGGCAGCTACCATTATCTTCAATGATGTCACAACTAGATACGTTTTCATCACTATTGAAAGCAACACCATGAAGACCATTACGCCATCGGTACTGATTCTCTTGTATGCATAATTAGAACGCTTATCAATACTATCACCAGTCTGTGAACTACATTTTGCTGTCCTGAGTGCCAACACACGTTTTCCTCCACCCCATCATTCAGCAACGCTAATAACATGCTATTTTGCTACAGTTATTTTAATTAATAAGCATCTCTTATGTCGCCATCTTTGCCTTTTCTGATCACTGTTGCCTCAGATCCTCCCAAATTATTTCTTCACATTGGAAAGAAACTTCAGCTGATTTTCTTTGCTTGATTTTTTTTTTTTTTTTTGAATTTTTGCTTCACTTGCCGGTTGTATTTCATTCATTTCTTCAGAACATCTGTCCTCTTTGAATTTCTTTCTTTCTTTCTTTCTTTCTTTCTTTCTTTCTTTTTCAACTTGAATATTCCCATTTTCACTTAAATCGTTTCTTTCCCCTCCTACCCTTACTTATTTCCATATTTTCTTTCTTTCTTTTTAATCTTATTCCATTCATTATTTCTTCCTTTCTTTCTCTTCTTCTCTTCTTTCTTTTTCCATCATTTCCTATTTAACTCTCACATTTTCCCTTATTTCTTCCCTTCTTTCTTTTTTTCTTTCTAGTTTTTCTTTCTTTCTTTTTCCTTTCCGCATTTTTTCTATTCCCCTCTTTCTTTCTTTCTTTCTTTCTTTCTTTCTTTCTTTCTTTCCTGTTCAACTTGAATATTCCCATTTTCACTTAAATCGTTTCTTTCCCCTCCTACCCTTACTTATTTCCATATTTTCTTTCTTTCTTTTTAATCTTATTCCATTCATTATTTCTTCCTTTCTTTCTCTTCTTCTCTTCTTTCTTTTTCCATCATTTCCTATTTTACTCCCACATTTTCCCTTATTTCTTCCCTTCTTTCTTTCTTTCTTTCTTTCTTTCTTTCTAGTTTTTCTTTCTTTCTTTTTCCTTTCCGCATTTTTTCTATTCCCCTCTTTCTTTCTTTCTTTCTTTCTTTCTTTCTTTCTTTTCTTCTCTTCTTTCTTTTTCCATTATTTCCTATTTTACTCCCACATTTTCCCTTATTTCTTCCCTTCTTTCTTTCTTTATTTCTTTCTAGTTTTTCTTTCTTTCTTTTTCCTTTCCGCATTTTTTCTATTCCCTTCTTTCTTTCTTTCTTTCTTTCTTTCTTTCTTTCTTTCTTTCTTTCTTTCTAATTTTCTATTCTTTGTTTGTTTGTTTGTTTCTTTCTTTCCTCGATCCTCCCAAAAGTATATGCCAACTAGTGTTTGACGTGTACTTAATATTTGCTTATTTGCTTTTCTCATCAAAACGGATGTCCAATGACAAGACCAGTTGCTGCTTCTTCAGACTTTTTTTTTAATTTTTTGTCGTCATACGCGTGTGCACGCTCTGGTCGTGCTTGTTAATTTTCCAAGTATAGAAGCAAAACAGACGAAAGTCAAGGATTCTACTCAAAAGACAAGAAAGAATTCAAATTAAAAGGAATGGTAACTGAACATAGTTTAACATGCAAGCACATCTCAGTGGTTAAGGGAGGGGGTGTAACACGGAAAAAATGTTTTCAGCTAAAATGCGAAAAAGACTGATACACATTTATATAAGGAGCTCCAATCAGTGGGTAACTGGGGCAGGAAATGGCTTGTAAATTTTAACGCAACTACTCTCATTTAATCACTATAAAGAAACTTTTCTGTCTGCCATCACAATGACTAACACAAGACACGGTCAAGGCCGCACGTTTTCAACTGACCTGGGCGACTACATCGAACCAATAGATGCATCTACTGCATGGAAAGTTGGGTCACTGTGCCAGAAAAAAATTCTCGTCAGAATCCATCTTGCATATTTACAAATCTACCATTCGTTCGTACATTGAATACTGCTGCTATATTTTTATCTGGTGCCCCTAATGTACATCTCGAGGTTCTTAGCAAAATCCAAAGAAGGATCTTCAATGTAATCGATCCTGACTTGATATCTTGACTTCATTCACTTTCTCATCTGCGTGGCTTGGCTTCCCTCTGTCTTTTTTGTAAATATTTTTATGGCAACTTTTTTGATGAGCTTTTTTTCCTGCTGCCCCGACTACATGAATTTAAGCGTGCTACTAGATTGGCAGCTAGGTCCCACCGTTTTACTGTTGAAATAGTTAAATGCAACCGCCACTTCTATTTCAAAAGTTTCTTTTCTCGCACTTCCTGCCTGTGGAACGCTCTTCCGTTTACTTGCTTTCCTGATAACTACAATCTTTAAAAATTTAAATACCACATCAATTACCATTTTCTTTCTATTTTAATCCCATTCATCGTTTTTACTTTCCGTACTCCTCCTTACATGCAGTTTTTTCTCTCACTTTCACACCCTAAAACCCCCTGCGTATTAGTGGCACTTCCACCTTTTTGGTCATTATTCTTGCAAAATCGCAGTAACGCGCCCTATTGCAGTTAGAGAACCGGATTATGGCCTTCTGTCGGTGAAGATATCGTGGGGGAAGACTTTAAATTCTTTTATTGTCTTTTCTTCTAAATAAAGTTTTTCTCAGTTTCAATGCTGTAACTGGTTGTTAAAGTGGTTTACTCTCCTTTGAAATTTCATAGTTAATTAGACCCACTGGGTCCATTCGTCCCCGTTTGTATGGGTTACCTAAAATCCATAAGGACGGTGTTCCTTTACGACCCATTCTGTCCATGATTGGGTCTTCCCAGCATAAAGTCGCTAGTTGGCTCTCGAATGTGCTACAACCAGTTTTGTCGCACTTCAGTTCATATTACATTAAAGTTTCCTTCTCCTTTGTTGAAATTATACGTAGTTCTGCTACTTATGGGGGGTTCATGTGTTCGTTTGATATCTGCTTCCTCTTTACATGTGTTCCCCTGTTTGAGACTATTGAGATGTGTTGCGATATGTTGTATCGTACCTCTTTGTCTCCTCCAAATTTTCCTGAGGGTCTATTTGTTGAGCTTATGATGTTTGCCACTGCGTCTGTCGAATTTAGTTTTAATAATATTATGTATCGGCAGATCGATGGGGTAGCTATGGGTTCGCCTTTGGGTCCAACGTTAGCGAATATTTTTGTTTGGTTTCCTGAGGCTTCCTTATTTTCTTGTATTGGTCGCCCTCTTATGTATCATCGTTATGTGGTTGATACCTTGTGCCTCTTTAAAAATGCAACTGAAGCCGACTTGTTTCTCACCAAATTAAACTCTGTCTATCCCGCTCTTAAGTTCACTGTAGAAAAGGATTCCAATGCTTGTCTTTCCCTTTTGGATATTCTTTTTCATAGGATCAATGACAAGTTTGAGGCTTCTGTATTTAGGAAGGCTACTTTCTCGGAACTTTATACGCTTTGGGACTTTTTTTGTCCCAGACAACGAAATGTTAATATGATTAAGGCCTTAATTCATAGGGTACTTAACGTATGTTCTGATGGCCTTCTCTGCGGTGAAGTTGAGTTTGTTAGGATGACACTTTCAAAAAACAGATATCCTTTGGATGTTTTAGACTTCGTTATCCATGACGTCATTAATAAATTTCATAGGGTTAAGCAGCATTTTGTTGATAAATGCCCAGTTTATCTGCGTCTTCCCTTTATTGGTACAGAGGGTGAGGGTTTATCTAGACAAATTTCACGTATGATCAATAGCTGTTATATTTCGGCTAATGTTAGGGTAATATTTGTTACCCGTCCTGTTTTCTCTTCTATTCGTAATGACATCCTCACCTCGACACCCATCATGTTAATTCAGTGATTTACTAATATAAGTGTAGTTGTGGATCCCGTGAGCCTTCTCTTTGTAAACAGAGGGAATGCTTACTGGATCTGAATGTTATTGGATTCTAGTTTCTTGAAATTCATTTTTTTCTCTTCCATTCCATTCGTTAATTTAATTTAATTTACACGCTTTTATAAATTTTCTATTCCCAGAAAAATAAACTTGATAAGTCCTGGGACGAAACTGATTTTTTTAGTTTTTTTTTTTTTTTTTTTTAAAAAAATGCCTTATAAATTTCGCCTTCTAGCTATTATTAAATTCTGTACCAAAAATACTAATAATAGTGTTTCCACTAGAAAATACACTGTCTAAAAACATGTGTCGGTGAGTAATCCCCTATTCTCTGTTTTTACTCGGTCCGTTGATGAAGGACAGAGACGTGTTCGAAAATTCCGGATTTAAAACCTTTTTTCTGGGCTTCATATGGTAATAATTAATATTTAATAAATGTACTGATTATATTGTTCGTTTGTCCTTTTTTAATAACTAACCTATCTATTTTACAAACTACAAGAAGCACACTTAAACCCTTTCTTCTCTCTCTCTCTCTCTCTTTCTATACATATATATATATATATATATATATATATATATATATATATATAGATATAGATATAGAAAAGAGAGAGAGAGAGAGAGAGAGAGAGAAGAAAGAAAAAAGACTGGCAGGAAAAGAATGTAGAAAAATCCGATTTATTCTGAGAAATATTCATTCTTCTTCAATCGCATGCGTACGCACATCCACACAGATACATGAAGTCCGATCAAAAAGAATCGGAACTCTTGCTTTTGTAACGAAGCTAAAATTGGCCGAGTGAAGCCACTTGGCACAGACTGGTTTTAGTTTTTTGCGCATACACATGAAATTACAACGTTCGCGTTCACTTTCGTTGTTTTTCGCAGTGCTTGGAATTGAAAGTGTAGAGTATGGTTGTCTGACCATAACACAGAGGTTTCAGCAGTGACCATAACTTGTACAGTTGGTTTGGGTCAAGCACAACATTTCTCAAGAACGAAAACCACCCACCTCTTGAGATTTTCCCCTCAAATCCAACTTGAAAGGAACAAGATTTGAAGCCACTGAGGAATTCCAAAAGAATGCGACCATACAGCTGCTCGCTATCCCAGAAAGGAGTTTCAGACATGCTTCCATCCATGAAAATTACGCTGGACAAGGTACCACTTCGAAGGGGATTAAATGCCGAACTGATATGTACTGTAGTTTTCTTTTTATAGCACCAGTCCCGATTCTTTTTGATCAAACCTCGCATGAAACCTTTTTAAGATATAAAAGTTAATGTAAAAGTCTCATAGAATATTCATTACGTTCCTATTTATCCATTAATATGAACTGGATCTGGTTACCTCGAACAAATGTCTCTATCAATATATATTCAGATTGGCCTATGGATATAGCAAACTAATAATTTTATTTAAGTGTCTTATAAATTAAGTCTTTTGCTAAAGATGACAGAAACAATCAGCGTGTATTCCTACAAATATACATTCACATGGTCCACAAATTACTTATATGATTTTGTTTAACGATAAGAAAGTGCCCTGAAGTTAAAAATAAAAGAAAAGAGAGAAAAAGGTATAAAGATTGAAAATGAACAAAACAGACCGGCAAAAAGAAAAATAAAATATAAAAGTAAAATAAGATAAAAAGAGAGAAAAAAAGACAATAAGAAAAAAGTCATAAACTGATTATATGTGTGAAAAAAAATGAAAAATGAAATGGAAGAAAAATAAGTTTATGTTAAGTGTCTTACAAATTAAGCCTTTTGCCAAAGATTGCGGAAATCATCAGCGTGTATTTCTACAAATGTACATTCGTATAAATTGCTCACGTATTTCTTGTACGATATGTTTAACGATAAAAATAGCTTGAAGTTAAAAATGAAAAAAAGAAAAGAAAATAGGATTTGAAAAATACCTAGAATAAAAAAAACAACGATAAGAAGCCAAAAGACTAAAAAAACGATTGAAAATGTAAAAAAAACAATGACTGACAAAAAGGCAATGATATATATAAAATATATATATATATATATATATATATATATATATATATATGAAAGGAAAAGCATAAAATAGAAAAGAAAAAACAGGAAATGATAAAGATTCATAAAATGATTATATGTGTGAAAATAAATGAAAAAAAAAGATATAAGAAGAAAAATAGGAAAAAATTCCTTTCGTCAAGTCCATTTCGAACGAATCAAATGAATTAAGAAAAGAATAAAATGAAATAAAATAAAAACTGAAATAAATAAAAGGTATAATTATCAAAACAAAAGCAGGTTGTCCGCCATATTAGAAACTGTGTGGCTGTCGGCTTTGTTGATCAGTATCCGAAAATATTAGTGATGACGTCACATGACTCATAGGCACAGTTTATTTGACGTGAAAGAAAAAAAAAGTTTAATAGCCTTGCTCTACGCATGTTTCAATGGCGGCTGCCTAATAAAGAAGCCTCTGCTATCAAATGAAGAT